GATTTTTTCATCTAAGAAAATGCGAAATTAATTTCTTGACGACCTAATAAATAAAAGAAGCCATCTATATCAACCTAACTGATAACATGATCATTAAAAAAAGTCAGCAACACCTGGATATACCCAATGAAACATTTCAAATAAATTAGTTGATTCAAGTCATTATCAAGTTAACCCGGGTGAGTGGATACCACGCCAGCCTTTCTGTTAAGAAGAGTGACGATTGAATCGTGGCCACAACCAAGAAGAAACAACCCTTCTTAGGACTTTCCTGAATTTGGCAGCATATTAGCATTAGAAACATAAATAAGAACTTGTTAGTATCAAACATACTGTGTTATTGGGTTATACACGTTGATCAAAGTGAGATTGAACTGGACCTCCCTTGAACATAGACTTCAAAATTAAACAATTTTCGGAATACTAAGTTTATTTATTACATCCGCTATTCCGTGGCTATATAACGTGAAGAACTGAATAGCGGCCAATGACACTTTTTCTTCACTTTACCTATCCAGAATAGAGGTTTTTCTCATAGTGACTACAGAGCACGTTTACATCAACAGCATGTTTGATACCATTCACTATGATATAGGTTCAGCTTATCTCTCTTCCGTGGATCGAGTTCGAGTCGAATTCTGGATTGCTCTGCCATTTGTATTGTGTACTGTGCTTAGTGATTCGTTTTGGTAAATTACTTTTGACATTATTATTGATTATATTATTTTTTGTTATTTTGTGTCTTTGTGTTCCCTGATGCATTATGGTTTACCTGCAGTCATCGGGCGCCCAGGTCTGCCTGACAAACTGGGCCAGTCCCCTCAACGTGTTAATCCCAAGCTGTATTCTCATCCGGCAGAGGATCATCCACGGAAGTCTTCGTCGTCTTGTGCCTCTTTATCCTGGGCCGACTGCCTGGCCTTAGATAGTTCGTCTCCCTGTGCTCCACCTCCTATTACTGTTCCTCAATGGACATAAGTTAGTGTTACTTTATCATTGATCTCTGGCTTTTCTACTTTTACTGCTCCTCGACCATCGCCTGCTACAGTTACTTCGACTTCTTGTTCTTCTACTACTACTACTCTAGCTCCGTCACCTTCTGTCTCTGCACCTGCTATCACTCTACCAGCCGTTTTTGAAGACCTGCCTAGCCCCATGGATACTATTGTAGCTCCTGCACTTATAGTGCTACCCCTTTCTGTAATGGATCCTCAGTTCTTTTCTACCAGAACTCTCTTCATTGAACTCTCTCGATACTGTCTATGCTCTGACATCCAACGTATAATACCTACACGAAATGGCGTGATTATAAATACTACTAAATCTAATTTATACGATGTTCTACGAACCAAGAGGGGTCTCCTTAATCTTGGTCAATCCACCATTCTTATAATGCTTCACTCTCCCACTCTCAAGCAGCAGCCCCCACCTCCTCGTATGCCACATTTCTCATGTGTGATCCGTGGTGTTGATCCTGCCATTACTGAGAAGGAGATCATTTCCAAACTTCTTCTCGAGAAAATTTCTGTCAAATACGTTATTTGCATCCAAAATTCTTCTGATTGTAACTTCTCGATTCATGTGTCGGCCGAAACTAGTGACTTTGTTGACCTTCTCACGTCTCGTGGAGCTTTTCTTTATTGTCAACATTATCGGGTCGAGGCTTCCCCTTTTCCTGCCGCCCAGCTACTACGTTGTGAGTAGTGCCTCACTTACAATGCACACACCACTGCAAGATGTCCTAATAAACTCATTTGTTCGCATTGTCGTGGACCTCATCAGCTCCATCAATGCATCCTCTTAGACTCTCCTCCCCTCTCTAACACCTGTTACCTGGATCATCCCACCTACTCCTCCAAGTGTTGGAGTAAGCCTCCCCCAAGTCTGACGATCCTGCTACTGTCACTCCTGTACATACTACCACTGTTGTTATCCCTCCTACACGATCCTGCTACTGTTGCTCCTGTATGTACTACCGATGTTGTTACTCCTCCTACTAACTCCATCGCTCCATCTCTCACCAGTGAGGATGTTAGTCGCTTTATCACTCTCATCCTCCAAAATGTTCTCCCATTTCAACGTTTTTTTGTCTTCAATAATATCATCCATGTTGCTCGCACCATATTTCGTCTCAATGTGCAGGCCACTTATTCTGGCCTTAACTCGTACTTTTTTTTTTCATCATTAATGGGATCCCACTGAGGCTGCATGTTAAAGTTTTTGTTTGTTAACATTCATTCTCTCCTTCACAAAACTTTCAATTCTGGATATCTTAATGGATGTTGGATCACATGACTGCATCCTCTTTAATGAAACATTTCTGAAGCCCACTTAAAGAATTCATTGGTCAAGGTACACTCTTCATCATTATGATCATCTTTTGGGTCAGACCCGGGCAAGTGTAACAGCTGCTACTCGTATTCGTCTTCCCGTGCATTTATGTTCCCTTTTACAATCTTCTTTCCCTGAGCATTTGATAGTCATGGTTTACTTCCCATCCCAGATCATCACTTTTGCAATGGTCTACGTTTGTCTCGGGGTTCCTTTGCCCTACGCCTTTTTCTCTTTTCTGAATAAATCCTTTCACAGCTATATCCGTGTTGCCGACGTCAACTATCACAGTAGGACCTCTGGCAAACTTGCCCATTTTCAGTCCTTCTTATGCTCCATTTCTGGTTTTTTCCTGCCTCTGCCAGCTCCTAGTCATCTAGTTTCTCAATCCTCGTCAGATGTCGTCTTTTCTTCTCTCATCCTACTTCCTCTTATCACTCTCCACATGTGTTCTCCTGTTGATAGTGATAATCTCGCCATTGAAATTTGTGTCCGTTTGCTGTCATCTGTTCCCCGTGCTTCTTAACAGACTCATTTCAATTTTCGATCCGCCGACTGGGACTCCTATGTTTCACACATTGCCAGTGCTGTACCGAACTCGGATCGACCTCTTACAGTGCTTGAAGATGTTGACTCGTTTGCCACCTTCCTCACCACTCTCATCTCCGATGCCAGTACCTTATCGACTTCCTCTTCAGCTCCCCATAAGCCAGCCTTACCTCAGAGAGCAGTAGAACTGTTACACCACACTTAATCCTTACTGCATGACTACCGTCGATCTCATGATTCTCTGTTGCTGAAATAATCCAAGGATCTCCAACGTACCACCCATAACTTTGTTTGGGCAGTCTGTCAACCTTTCATCTCTATATTTTGGAAGCCACCTGAATTAAAACACGTAAACCTATCCTTTGCCGCCAAAAAGAATTTCTATACAATCTACACATCCTTCAGTAGGTCTGTAACATTTCCTGATTGGCTTAAGGACATGCCAATCAGTGATTGCCTTAACGGCCTACGTTGATCTGACTCATTTTATAAGCTGTACTATTTCCTATAGATCATTTTCCAGGCGGTTCTGCTATGATTAGTGTCTGGCGAAAAGCTTCAGAAGATATTTCTTTTGCAACATCTCAACCGACAATTGGTCCAGTTATCAACGCTATCTTCAAGTTTTGTACACCAAAAAAAAACTTTTCAAATAACAAATTCGTTACACTTTCAAAAAATTCAAAATTCTCTATCATACAATTTTTAACTGCTACATGCCCTGAATCCTTCGTATGTAATAAACTAAGCAAGTTATTTAAGTCTAGCTTTGATAATTTAGAATAAAATGCTTTCTTAGCAGCTACTGCAGCATCTTATATTTAGGAAGCTTTTTATTATTCAAAAAATTCATATGCTTGATATTAAAGGGTAGGAGTGATAGATATAGCTAATACTATACATTTTGATGCAGTATAAGTACATTTTGAAAGCAATTAAGCCTTACATTTCAGTTCATTTTACAAAATCAGAATTAGTTTGAAAAATGATAAGATGTTAAAATACTTTTTTAGCCATGGATGAGTGCTTTTGATATAAAAATGCGTTTTCATTTTGAAGTAGTAATGTAAGTTTATATTAACCTTGTCGTAGTTGAAATAGTTACTAATTTCATTGTTAGATGACTAGTTTAGAATAACTTTTATTCGGGTATATTCACTTAATTTTTTCTAACTTTTCGTGCGCATGTTATGCATGTAGTTATTACATTCTCATTGATGGGATGCTACAAAGTCGTAAACATGTGCTAATCTTTTCATACGGGTATAGATTGCATAGTACAACCTTTATTCTTAAGTTTCAGTAAGGACTTCCAGGAAGTAGTTACTCAAAAAAAAATGCAAGACTGACTTAGGACGGTTTATAAGTGTATGTTGACTTTTGGTTCAAGTATGTAACAAGGACTTATGAGATACAGCAGTAAGGCTTTGCCTGAGTATAAACGGGGAGTGTTTCCGTAACTCTGTCTTTGGATCTGGCTTTCCTCTGTTTTTGGCCCATATTTCTACCTATTGCTCCTTTCCTCGCACCAGCAACCAGACAGTAGTAATACAGATTGAAAGCCGGCTACTGTGGTGAAAATAATTAATTTTGTTTCGCAGTTCATTTATGTTTACTTCTCTTTCTTTACTGCTCGTGTTCGATATACTCTTTGCTTAATAATACCGAACTTGCATTTTTCAACTACTTTAGACGTTTATGTATACCCGAACATCATACAGTATAAAATTGATTCAAAATAAATTGGAATCTTTTCATACATTAAATTGTTTTCACGGTTTGTATTATCAAATGATTTGAAATAATATATGAAATGACAATGCATATTTTAAATTTATTTGTAATTAAGTACAAAGCTACCCATTGGGTTATATGTGCTATGCCCACCACGGGTATCGAAACCCGGTTTCTAGCGTTGTAACTCCGCAGACATACAGCTGTGCCACTGGGGGCTTTATTTTAAGTAACACTGTTAAAAAGTAAACAAAATCCATAATTTGGTATGTCATTTTGTTTGCTTTTTATTATGTATCTAAAAATAAACATGGCACTGGGAGAGTTGTCTATCTATAAATGTGGTTTTAAACGAATTAATAGGTACCTTTGCAACACAAACATAAATAAATAAAAAAACCTTGATTATGAGCATTTATATTACACAATGGAACACAAGATGTAATATATATAAAACTTAACTTTTGATTTTTTCACAAAAAACTTTGATTATATTAAACAAACATTTTTTTATGTTCAATAGGTTTTTGTGTCTGAGTTATTGTTTAGTGTTCTTGAGCGAATAATACAAATAAAAAACGTTTGGTGTCATGACCAGTGTTCAGTGACTTTATACTGTGCTCTAGACTTTTGTTTATCTATTTTTGCTGGCTTTGAGCTAGATTCTTTCCTAGGTTACGGGACTCATCAACATTGTCTTGTTGACTCTGGTTCAGCAAACTTTGTTCTCTACTGTCACTATAGCAGTCTTTAGTCTAGGCAAAAATTCGATAGGGGTGTCTCTGGCAAGCAGAAAAAGTGGCTTAGAACAGTTGATTGTTCAGAATTAAACTGTAGCTCTGACAGCTAGAAATGTATGGTAGAACTAAGAGAAACAGGAGTTTGATCTGACTAGGAATAAATGGTGTGCTAAGATAATTTGTATAAAGTAGTGGCAGCATATGTAGAATCACTACCCTTCACATGCAAACGAATAGAGTGATATTACAGAACTCAAAGTACGAATAATGTGCTTTGTATGAAGAAGAAGAGTTATCCTACACAACAAAGATTTATTATATTTATTGGTGAATGCCAAATTTCTGTAGTAGTGGCCAGCTGCAGCCAGGAAAGATACAAACCACTCGTAAAGTAATAATATATTTCTCACTTAGAAAAGAACAGTAAAGGCTACGTTTTCTTTACACAGAAAAAGGTCATTATCCACTACAAGAACAACTTTGAACATCACCCACTTCTACTGTATCACAGTGATGAAAGGTTTATGTAGTCCCATGAAATATATATAAATATTTGATAGTCTTGGCATAATGAAGTAAAGTTAATTTACTTCAGAAGAATCTTGTAAGATCAAGTAATAGAGATTGTGTAAGTAGCGACATCCCATCATGAAAGATACATATCGTAAATGAAATGTTGCACGTAATTCAATGAAATGGTGTTTCTAGTGGATTTGTACACATAATATGTGACTTAATTGTGAATGAGTTTCTTGATTGCCCAGGAAGTCAGCTACAAAGCATATACATCACAGATAAAATAC